GAACGGTGACTGACGGATTAGATATCTGTCTTGCCTCAGCAAGGGGGAACACTAGCTATTCTGTATCAACTCTCTGAACCCCCCTAAAAGGAAAAACAAGCAGTGTTTCAGCCCAAATGGATCAAACACAGATGTAGCCGAACAACTATACTCTACTGCTGACCATTGTTGCCCAAAATCACTGCCCCCAAAATACTGAATCGGATACCCACAGATATAACTGATTCTCATAAACTGATACTGGTGCCCTCAAGCCTGATACTCAAACTTGCAAACTGATATATACGTTCCCTGCAGAGATGCACTCTAAAAGCACATAGCAAGTAAAGAGAGCCAAAACACCCCTAAGTTGTGGTACGGTTTCCCTGTCCTATTTTGTCAGGAGCTAGGGTTTCACTATGCACGCAGCAGTTTTCAAACAACCAAACATCGGGTAAGCAACCTGTCCTAGTTTGGCATAGTTACTATGGATTTCGATATGCACTAGGTCGAATGGTCGAAAAGGGTGCCCCGGTAAAACCGGGGTTTGTGTTCCCAAACTGTCAGAGCCCACAACCGGTCAGCCTTATGGCATACTTTGACAAAGTCAAGCCTCCGGCAAATCATTCAGGAATGGCAGATGGCAAACACGGTGTCCTAGGCGCACCAATGCACATGCAATGCAAAGAGACATATAAATGAAATCAAAACAAGATATCATGAGTTCGAGTCAAGCTCTCTAAACTCCCCAGCGGAGTCGCCAGAAACTATAGACGTCCCCGAACGCCCCGGGAGGGTGAGTCCCGTTCTGTTCGTTTTGGGTTCACTACAGTTCGGACTCTCAAATTGTCACGGTTCTTAATCTAAATGAAAGAGTCCAAATCTGGCAAATCGTTTTGAGAAAAACAGATTTTTAGAAAAGAAGTACCAAACATGGACTGCTTTGCCAGATACAGAGTCGCCACCTAAATATTTTAAAATGGGGAAATTTAGGAAACCCTGACTCGGTGCCAAAGGCCACGTGTCCGTCATCACCAAAGTTGCCTCGGCTCGGGAGCTTGGGTACGATTGGGGAAGGTTAGCTATGAGCACCCCCTCTCGCCCGATCTGAAGATCGGCCTCTACTAACCATGATATCTATTTTTGAAAACGTTATGTGTTCTTATTTCGGTTATTAGCCTAGAATTACTACGTTATGCGCACAACAAACAAGTATAGACCAAATCACCTAAATTGGAATAAAACATTTCATGCTTGTTTCGAAAATGGTTTGCTACTCGTAAGTAGGCTAAAATGCAGGTTTTGCCACCCTCAAGTGGGCTTTAGAAAAGATGGTTTTGCCACTATCTAGTGGGCTTAAAACTCACAGTTTTAATACATTATTCCAATTTAGGTAATTCAACCTCCACCCACAGGCATTCAAGCAGTTATATCACATAAGCAAGTAGCCTCATGGTAAGCATGCTGTCATGGAAACACTCACACGCATGCGGTATGCTAAAGCATAAATGCTTATCGGGTACTCCAAGCCAAAACAAAAGCTGGTTAGTAATCATGTGCATGATCCTAGTTCATGTCGAGATGGCTAATGCAACACATACAAGATGCAACTACAATCGGCTCGACTATCCTAATGATGGCATGTGAAATGCTGCAACTAACAGGTATTCAACTTGGAATTGAAATACAAGTGCAGTTAGTATGATGTACCAAGCCCGGTGCATGTAGGACAAATGTATGGATGCACGCATGCATAGCATAAGGTATGCTAATTTAAATATGCCCTAATACAAACCATCAAAAGTAGGTAAGTAAAAGGGAGAAAGAAGTGGGGGATTGGAAGACATGCACACACGCACCCACACTTATTACAAGTTAGCCCTCACTCGGAGGGACCGAAAAAATAATACAATTTAACTAACTAACAAGCTAATTAAATATTACAGACCACCTAATTAATTAAGCAAATTAATTAATCTAATTTAAGCAATAAACAGCCTCGGGAAGAGGGTCCAATGCGATGCGTGCTCGATTTCGCTCGGAAGCCACTGCCATGCACAAGCTGCCTCTACTTTTACTGTTCTACTTCTCTGAAAATTGGACAACTCCCAAGGTTGCTTCTCTGAGTGCTGTAGAAGACCACCGGCTGAAGGGATTGGTCACCGGCCATGTATGATGGTCACCGGCCAAAAAATAATCCTTCGGCCAACGATTGATGGCCGGTCAGCACTTAAGATGGCCGGCCGGCCAAATCTTCCTGCAAAAACTGGTTTGACAGCAACAGAGGACAGAACTTGGCATGGCAATGCATTTCAAGCAATGTATGCACCAACCACACTCCTTATCATATTTATGACTCAAAGGAGGATGGGCCTCGGTTCTCGGGCCACCAATCACGCGTTTTCATGCATGATGGCCCAAAGAATCAAGTGCGCATGTTGATATGGAATGCAATGCACATAATCAAGCAAATTGAACTCAACCTCTATCACAAGCAATTCAAGAGGCGAAGCGTGCATGCCAATGCAATGCAATCCTAAGCATGGCGACTAGTATGCAACATGGACAATGCAAAGAAGCATACAAGGCATACAATGGTCATGCAAGACATAGGGCATGAGACAATGCAACTAACAAGTATGCGAGGCACAATGTGGGTGTTCGAGCATGCAAGCAAGCATGTGACTTCATTCAATCATGCAACTCCAATCATGCAACAACACACAAATATGCAACAACATACAAGGTGGGCATACAACAACATGCAAAGGGGTGGGCTTAAACTAATTTAGGCAGCCCTCAAACAAGCCTAAAACAGTGGCCAAAATGATGCAACAAAGGCATGAAAACACACACACAAATATGCATCAACAAGGGCCTAAACATGGAGCATAAGCCATCAACTCTTCAAAGCATAAAAGGGATGGAAAATGCAAGCATATAAGCACATCATGAGGTCTAAAATAACATACCAAGTGATTCCAAACCGCTGAAACAAAGCAAGGATGGTATCCTAGAGAGGCCAAAGCTTAAGGCATTCAAGAGGGATTGCATGGTAGCTATACAAAGCAAGACATAAATGACTCAAATGACCTAAAACAGTCCCTTAGCACATCAAAATATGCATATAAGCTTCACAAAGCTTAGCCAAAACACATGAGCATGGTAGTCTAAATGCTATGCATGTATTGAGGCAAATCATGGCATTACAAGGCATGTATGCTAAGCAAGCATGGTGTACCAAAACCAACTAAAAACAGAGCTATATCATGACATAATAAGCATAAATATCAGTCAAAGCATGGCCAAGATGAACCTAAACATGATGCTCACTAAAGAGGCAAAAATGGCCCTTTTCAAGGACAACAAGGAGAGGGGGTGGCCCTCTCCTTCTTAGGACCTCAAGGCACCATCCTCATCACTGAAATCCCTCAAGATTTCAGTGGTGAGGAGGCCCAAACACAATGGTCCCGGAGCTCAACCGAAATGGCACAAAACAAGGGCCAAACAAGCCTTAAGAGGGGTCAAACAACCCCAAAGCTTAAAACACCCATAAGAAACTATTTAGGGCAGATAAAAACAAGGCTTTTCTATGTTATATGTTAAGCTCAAAAATAGTTGCAAGATAGGCAAAAAGGCTATGCAAGAATGGGGAACAAAGGGTGAAGTTCTTACCCTTGATGACCCTCTTCACAAACAATGGTCCAGTAGGTTCTCTAAGCTCAAAACCTGCCAAGAACTTCAAGGAAAGGCCTCTGGTACCTTAACAACTAAGAAAAGGTGTGATAGTGGGTGTTTGTGCACAAAAATGAGACTAAACACACACTAAACACAAGAGAGAGAGATATATAGAGATAGAGGATATATGTAAACCCTAACCCTAAAGCTCAAGCTCTGAAAATGTTATCTAAGTTGTCTAACCCTAAAAGAGGGAGAGGAGGCCTCCTCTTATAGAGCTTCATTCTTGTAAGCTTACAAGACAAGCTAGCTAAGAGGGAAATCCCTCCAAACACATGTATGGAGGGGAGCCAAGTGCATGCCAGCTGCATGAAAATATTTGCAAAAGCAGATGCACAGTAGTCAGCCCCCCAAAAATGCAATTGACCAAAAAAAGATAGTTGGCCGGCCATCTATAGTGCCAGCCGGCCAAGCATTTGGCCGGTGGCAACAAAACACAGCCGGTGGCCTCAAGCCATGGCTGGTGGAGTGTGGGGATGGCCCACAAGCCATTCCCTGCCCCTCCAATGTGAAGCACAAGTGTTTGGTACAAAACCAGACACAAAAACAGTCGAGTCGAGAGATCCTGAGGCAAGGCGCGTAGCCGAGACCTCCGGGAACTCAAGACGAACACAAACATGGATGATCACCGAGTGTTCAAGCGGTGACGTCCAAGTCTTGAGGACGGCCAAAATGGGGTGTCTACATTTCCCCCTCTCCGGGGCAAGCCACCGATTCTGCTAATGAAGTCCCAGACGAAGACTTTGATTGGTCGGGAAACGAGAACTAATTCGAGGGGTAGTAAAACTAGACTTTTGTAAGATCCGCTGATGAGGATCCCTAGAATAAGATAGCTTGAACTTGTGTGCGTAGATGCTCTTGAACGTAACTCTGAGAGAGGAGCCCCTTTTGTAATGATGCCTATTATTATACATATATAAATGATGTGTTGATCTATGTTATTGATTGTTACTTGCTTTAGTGCACCCTAAGGAAACTGAACCTTTATTTCAATCTAAGTAGTAAGATCTTCTAAGACTAGAAACGAACTAACCTCGTGCTATGAATAGAATGGTAGGCACGCAAGCTAATGGCTATATCGAAACCAACAACAATGTATGAAACCGTCCCAAGCATCAACATGAACCCATCCCCGCAGGGGCTGCATCCCCAATAACCTAGGTCATCAGATCTTGGAGGAACTATGGCAAATAAGGAACAATCAGCAGAATGAGAGGACTTGACTCTTTTCTGAGTTTCGGAAGCAGAGGCCCCCAAAGTTCACAGGCGTACCGGACCCGAAAATGGCTGAGAATTGGCTTCGACAGATAGAGAAAATGCTAGACACCATGGGCATCACCGAGGCCACTGATAGAATAGCTTTGGCAACATTCGAGCTTGATGATGAGGCTGACCATTGGTGGGAGTTAATGAAAAACACTCGTGACATGGCAAGCCTATCATGGAACCAATTCAAGGAACTATTCTTAAGTAAATATTTCCCAAGTACTATCCGTCGAGGACGAGTCAAGGAATTCCAGAACCTGGAACAAGGAAATATGACCGTGACCCAGTATGCTGCAAAATTCGAAGAGCTACCCCGCTATGCAACTAGACTCTTGGCAAATGATGAAGAAAAAGCAAGGATGTTCGAGTGGGGACTGGATCTTACAATCAGGGGAAGAGTCCTTCCGCAACGACTCCCCTCATATGCCGAGGTGTTGGAGATGGCATTAGAATCTGAAAGGGAAGTGAACAATGCCAGAAAGGCTTGGAACAAGAGAAGAGAAAGTCAGGCGACTATTGGATCCCAGAGGAACCAGAAGGGAAGCATGACCTCAAAGCCCTACTGCAGACCATAACCACGACAGCAACGACAGCAACCGCAACAACAGATTCAGAGAGGAGGCTATCAAAGGCCGGCGGGACAAATCCAGTGCTTTCATTGCCAAAAATTAGGGCACAAAAGGAGCGAATGCCCCCAACTCCCCCCATCTGGATACCAAGGAGGAGGTTCCGGAGCAAATTCCCAGGCATTAGGTAGGCAGAAGCCTTGGACAAACAAGACCGGATCTACCGGGCAGCAGCACCAGAAGAGTGGAGGAACTCAGAACACCAAGACCAGTGGCAACCAGAAGGCAACCAGCAAAATCTTTGCCCTGCAAGAGGAAGAGGCGGACCTGTCTGTAATTGAGGGTAATTTAGTACTATACAATTCTTGGGTGCATGTTTTATTTGATACCGGTGCATCACATTCTTTTATATCCTTTGCTTGTGCTGAGTCATTAGAACTTGAATGTGAACCTTTAGAAACTGCCCTAAGTGTAATGCCACCTATGGGAGGATGCATTCGGGTAGGATTGATATGTAAGGATTGTAAGATAGGGATGTCGAACCTACGCTTAACTTGCGACCTTCGTGTTATGGAAATGTCGGACTTCGATATCATCTTGGGCATGGACTGGTTGTCCACCCACCGAGCGGTGATCGACTGTCGGCAGAAGAAAGTGGTAGCTCATACACAAGATGGAACACGTTTCCAGTTTAAGGGGGATAGACAAGACCCCATGGTTTCGACAAAACCCCATGGTTTCGACAAAACATCAGATGCAGTGGTGCGATCAACTTGCCGGTATGATAGCAAGCCTGATTCTAAATGAGGAAGGTCGAGGAGAGTTAGAGCTTCCACGCGTAGTGTGCGATTATGCAGATGTGTTTCCCATGGAATTGCCAGGATTGCCACCAACCCGGGAAGTAGACTTTGGCATCGAGCTACAACCTGGAACTACCCCAATATCCATGGCTCCGTATCGCATGGCACCAGCAGAACTGCGAGAATTGAAGACACAACTACAGGAATTGCTCGAGAAAGGATTCGTTAGGCCAAGCACTTCGCCATGGGGAGCACCCGTGTTGTTTGCTAAAAAGAAAGATGGGTCGTTGAGGCTATGCATCGATTATCGTCAACTCAATCAAGTCATGATTAAAAACCAATACCCACTCCCAAGGATTGATGACCTTTTTGACCAACTTAGAGGCTCAAGGTGCTATTCAAAGATCGATCTCAGGTCAGGTTACCATCAACTACGAGTCAAGGAGGAGGATATACTGAAGACTGCCTTTCGTACTAGATATGGCCACTATGAATTTGTAGTAATGCCCTTCGGACTAACCAATGCACCAGCAGTATTCATGAGCCTAATGAATAAGATCTTTAGACCATACCTTGACCTGTTTGTAGTAGTATTCATTGATGACATCTTGGTATATTCAAGGTCTGAAGAAGAGCATGAGCAACATTTAAGGATTGTCCTCCAAGTTCTTAGGGAAAATCGGTTATTCGCCAAGGCAAGTAAATGTGAGTTCTGGTTGAATGAAGTAAAATTCTTAGGGCACGTGGTATCAGAAAATGGGATTGCGGTGGATCCAACCAAAGTGGAGGCAGTATTAGATTGGAGAAACCAAAAACCGTGTCGGAGATCCGCAGCTTTTTAGGATTGGTCGGTTATTACCGGAGGCTCATCCAAGATTTCTCCAAACTAGCTAAACCAATGACTCGTCTGACGCAAAAGGGAGTAAAGTATGAGTGGGACGAAGCTTGCGAAAAATCCTTCCAGGAGCTGAAGAAGAGGTTAACTAGTGCGCCAATTTTGACCATCTCAGAACGAGAAGAGGGGTACACTGTGTATTGCGATGCGTCTAAAGAAGGGTTAGGTTGCGTGCTCATGCAAAATGGAAAGGTAGTCGCATATGGATCCAAGCAGTTGAAACCTCATGAGCGCAACTACCCCACCCACGATTTGGAATTAGCAACCGTGGGTTTTGCACTAAAGCAATGGCGACATTACCTGTACGGGGAACAATTTGAGATTTTCACGGATCACAAGAGCTTGAAGTATCTATTCACACAGAAGGACCTTAACTTCAGACAGAGACGATGGATGGAGTATCTTGTGGACTTCCAGTTCACTCTCTCATATCACCCCGATAAGGCCAATGTAGTAGCAGATGCTCTAAGCCGTAAGAGCAAAGCGATGGTGGCTAAGATCTCCGTCAAGGAATGAGATATGGTTAAGACACTCAGTGAGTTCAGGATCCAAGTAGAATCTCAAGATACAAAAGCATGTCTTAGTGCGCAGAAGGTGATGCCTAAGTTGAGGAATGAGGTCATGGAGGCCCAGAAGCACTATCAAGAGGTAGCTTACATCAAGGGATGTCTGGAATCAGGAGAGCCCATGCCCGATTGGGTAATTCACCTCGATGAAAGTTTAAGATACCAGGGTAGATTGTTTGTACCAAGTGACGAGTTACTTAGAGAAAAGGTACTAGAGGAATGTCACCATTCTGCATTTGCGGTACATCCAGGAAGGACTAAAATGTACCAAGATTTGAAGAGGCAGTATTGGTGGAATGGAATAAAGAAGGAAGTGGCTAAATTCGTAACAAAATGTTTGACATGCCAACAAGTGAAAGCGGAACATCAGAAACCAGGAGGAATGTTGCAACCTCTACCAATAGCCGAATGGAAGTGGGAGTATGTGACGATGGATTTTGTGACAGGTTGCCTAAGTCACCTAGAGGGCGTGATGCTATATGGGTAATAGTGGACCGTCTTACCAAGTCAGCACATTTTTTACCCTATAAGATGACCGACACCTTAGAGTCTATGTGCAGACTTTACATTGGGGAAATCATTCGACTACATGGAATTCCGGTATCTATTGTGTCAGATTGTGATCCACGATTCACCTCTCGATTTTGGGGAAGCCTGCAAGAAGCTCTTGGTACAGAGTTATGTTTTAGCACCGCCTTTCACCCGCAGACAGACGGACAATCTGAACGCACTATCCAGACGCTCGAGGATATGCTGAGAGCTTGCGCAATGGATTTTCAAGGAAATTGGGAACGACACCTACCCCTAATTGAATTCGCCTACAACAACAGCTTCCAAGCTAGCATCGGTATGGCACCCTTTGAAACATTATACGGACGACCTTGTAGATCGCCGATTTGTTGAACGGAAGTGGGTGACGCAAATCTGGTGGGACCCGAACTTGTCCTAGAAACTAGTGAGAAGGTCAAATTGATCCGACAACGGTTAAAGACTGCTCAGGACTGTCAGAAGAATTATGCAGACTGGAGGAGGAGACTGTTGATGTTTCATGTAGGCAGCCACGTGTTCCTAAAGATGCAACCCAGGCGTGGAGTCGTACGTTTTGGAAAAAAGAGAAAGCTGTCACCCCGATGTATTTGAGATATTAGAAAGGGCGGGCGAATTGGCATACAGACTAGCCCTACCCCCGCAGTTAGCAGGAATACACAACGTCTTCCATGTATCTATGTTGAGAAAATACGTCACTGACCCGTCACACGTCCTCAAATGGAAAGGTATCAGCCTTGACAAGGATGTTACATTTAAAGAAGGACCGGTAGCAATACAGGACAGCCGAGAGAAGGACCTCAAAGGCAAGACGGTTCACTTGGTGAAAGTGTTATGGTGTCACCGAGGAATTGAGGAATCTACTTGGGAGCACCAGGATTGGGTGAAGGTAAATTACCCCGAGCTTTTCGAAAGCAGTATGTAGCTGAATTTCGGGGACGGAATTGTTTTAAGGGGGATTGGTTGTAAGGCCCCTAAAATATGTATTTACTTTTAAGACCTTAATGATGAATTATTTTCTTAAAGCCCTCGTTTACTTGAATTAATTCGAATCTTGTCGGTTAGCAATTTCTATTTTTATTTTTATCGAAATATAAATTTCTCTGACCAGATTAGTTTCCCTAACTTAATTTAATTCTACCTAGGTTGCATGTAATTAACTTCAAGCCCTCACTCTTTATTTAAATTTTAAACTTACCCCAAATTAGTACTTGCACCTTGTACCTTGGTATACCATCAATCTTGCAATATATATATAGGTATATATACACCTTGAGGGATGTGCCTAGGACCAAAATTAATAAAATAGTCACCCAACACACTCTCCCAAGGCCGGCCCTCCTAGGGAAGGGAGAGAGGAGCCAATTTTCAAGGACTATGATTAAGATATTCTAGGAAATCCAAACCTAGTGACCTAGACTTAGGTTGCAAATCTCAAAACTAGTTACCTTTCAACTAAAGATCAACTAATTGATGCCAAAACCTATGATTTAGCACCTTAGTTACTCCTATCCCATTTGACACCAACCAAAATCCTAGCTTTCCCATCCATTTTCAACTAAAGGGCTTTTATGTCCTTTTACACCAAAATTGCCTATATATACCACACCCCCTAGCTTACAAACTCACACAACACACTCACTCACACACACATTTTGGTTAGAGAGAGGGAGGAGAGCAAGGAAGAGAAGTTTAGCGGAGAAGAGGGAGGAAGAGGAGAGTTTCTTGTGCAAAGCTTGGAAGGTAAGCCACAAACACAAACTTCTCTTCATTTCCTTTTCTAATGCATGTTTTTGAATATTCTAAATAATGTTTTCTACTAAGATTTGAGTATTGAGTCCATCTCTCTTGTATTTCCCCATTTTGGCACAAAACCGTCTTTTTTTGTACCAATCTCTCAATTTTTCAAGGGCACTCCTTCAAACAAATTTTCTGAGTTAAACATGGGATAGTTAGCATATTTTCCTCACAAAAGAAATGAAACTTTCCCATGGTGGAACCCCCTTTTTATAAATTTTCTTGTTTTGGGCATCCTACATTAAAACCTGTTTTTGCGGTCAGCTTTCAAAACTTCCAGAAAAATGTACAAAAATATTCTGAACCTCTATTTTATGTCAAAGCCTTCCTTTAGAAGTTATCTTTCAACTAAAATTTGTTTCATCGAAAAACATTGAGCGGTTTGCAAGAAAATCAAGTTTTCGTAACAGTCGACGGATCTGGGCAGATTCTGGACAGTGCTGAGATACTTTCTAAATAATCTAGAATCTGGAAGAGCAACCCCAATTCCGAAAAATGTTCTATAAACCCGATTGAATCCTATATAAACCATAGGAAGGCCAAGCCGGTAAAGGGTCTAAAATAGCTCTTTCATCTTAATCTTTATGCGATATTAAATATGGAAACTTTTGTTAGGTGTGGATATCTTGTACCTTTGAGTTCATGAGAATGTTTGCAGCTTATAATCATATCTTGATCTGACAATATATGTGTTGTGGTTATGTTATTTACCTTTCTTATAAGAATGTTTGTAGCTTATAATCATATCTTGACTTGATAATATATGTGTTGTGGTTATGTTAATCACCTTTCCCATCTTAAGATTGCATGCTCATATGGATATTATTGTTTTTATAAGTTAAGCTAGTCTTGTCTTAAAAAACTTAATTCAACTGGAAACCTAATTGGGAGGGTATTGGGTTTTCGAACACTTGAGTAATGACAAGATGAGAAAATATGATATGTGGATAATTGGGAGGCGTTCCCTTTCTGAAGGTTAAAAGTCTTGCACAAGTGGTTTTCGGAACCCTTGAACGGAGCAGTTGTATTCGGACCGTAGGTAGTTCGCCTAAGGAGGGATTTGGGCAAGGCCCTATTTGTACCGTCTCTTTTGAGGCCCTGCGGTTGGCGCTACGCGGTATATAACCGTTGGTAGGCATCCAAGGTTAGTTCTGCAATAAAGCAGCAAAAGAGGGGGCATACCGAATAATCCGCGTCCGATTCTTATGGTTGGGAGGACGAAATCTCTTTGGGGGATTTCTGGTTTACTGACATCTAACTTAACCATTTAATTATGTATTTATTTATTGGAGTATCATGCTTTACTACTTGATGTTATATTTTGTGATTGTGTATTGGACTGGGAAAAAGGGGTGAGGTGTGTGTGTGTGTTTTCTAGTTAACTGACATCTAACTTAACATTTTGCTTCCCTTTATATCTAAAATATGAAGTCTGAAATTCAGGTCAATAGACATTTAACAATTTTGCTTCCCCTATTCTGTTTGCAATTTTAATTATAATTGAGGAGGTTTTTAGATATGTATGAAAAATATTTAATTATAATTTTTGATGTTAATGTTGAAAAGTGATTTGGTTATAAAACTTGCATATGGTACTTCTTTTTTTTTTGAAGGGTGTGCATTGTATCATCACTCATATGATTTAGTGGCTTACCAAAATGAAAATATATAAAAAAGGAAAGAAAAAAAGACTTACCAAAATGCAAATAAATAAAAAATAAAAGAAAAAAAGAATTGAGCTTCTATACAATTCATACCTAGATTGAAAGGTCTTGTTCGAGTCGGGGGCTCATCATCGGTTTTATTTTGATAATTTAAACTATTCATTTTGTATGGTCCTCTGTGTATATCATTCATGAAAAAATTAAGTGGATCCAATAATTGTAATATTTTCATTTTATCATATTTGTCTAAACAAAAGTGTGCAAAAAAATGTGTTTTCTAAAATTAATCATCCGTTTTTTTTTCTTCTTTTTGTTGAAGAAAAGCTTTTAAATGAAAAGGCTACAATAATAGGATTGACCAATTTTATTTATTTATTTATTATTTTTTTTTTTTTTGTAAATGATACACGTGGAGATGCCGTTTGGATTATCAAAACGAAAACAACTCCCTCTAATTTAGAATGTGAAATGGGGAGAAGCTCAACATAAAAAGAAAATATGTCAAACCTATATCTTCATTATTAATTCAATATCATAAATTATTTTCCATTTTTATGCAATAATTAAAAAGAAAAAAATCAAACGAAACACCACAAAGCCTCACAAGTTAGATCAATTTAATTCATAATTAATATTAAAAAAAAAAACTGACCAAAGCATTATATCCAAAGTCACTTCACCTCATAACCAAGCACAACAAAGTCTCATAGTCACTGAAAGGGAGATTTATGACTAATAATGTGCCGAGTTAGTTTGGGCCGGAGTCAAGGCCTTTACTCAGTAAGACGTTGGGTACACACTAACCCGAGGACTTAGTATGGTTAGTTTGGGGACAACTTTGAGCTACTAGCCTGGTATGGATGTGTGTTCTGCTGAGTTGGACGGAATTTGTCCCCAGAAGACCAGATTCGACCAAGTAGAAGCTCAGTTGTGACTGTGGAGCTCGGTTGAGCCCATGTTCGGGTTTGGCCGATAGATGGCGCGGTTCCAAGGGAAGGGCATGGTGCTGCGCTGAGTGTAGCTCGATAGGAAGTGCTACGCGAAGTGATGGAACTACGGGAAGAAGATTCTGCCGTCTGTATGCATCAATACCATTTGGCGGTTTGATTATTTGGTGTTTAGCAGTATTTGCACCTACACGTGAAGGGATATAAGAGGGGAACATATCCATGGGTCAGAAGGAGGACAGGCAGATAGGAGCGCGCAGATAAATGGTGCTGCGTATCCATGCACAGGTCTGGAACATCTGGTTATCAGAGCTACCTACCCCTTTGTTTCTTTCTCTTCTTCTTCTCTTTTAGTGTGCTAACTTGATCGTCGGAGGGTTTTTCCGGTAGCACACTGCCGGGTAGCTCACCGTTTTGTGTTCTTAGGTCATTTGGAAAGAAGCGAAGCTTGGACACGAGAAGTACGGAAAGCGACGAATATTTGCCCCCCGTATAGTCATGTTCACCACAAATTTAACCACCATAAAATCTCATAGGTAACCATTTGATCCATAACTAAGAGCATATACTATACACTTTGCAAACTATAGTAGCTATTGTTGATGCCTCATGTTGTCCTGCTCTCTTAGATAGTTACACAACATGTGATCACTTAGTTTTAGGAAAAAAAAATGTTAGGGATCTTAAATATTTTACCAAATATTCTATCAATTTTGAGTCTCACACCCATGTAAAACATTTGATAGAACATTTGGTAAAATGTTTGGGATTCCAAGCATTACACTTTAGGAAAATAAAATCAAGGTGCAACAGCTACAATCTTGAAAACATATTTTATGTACACCTTTTTGTACTAGGTACGGACAATAGTACTTCCCCTTTACATGTACTGACGATAGTACTCCCAACAGATTAGGTCGTATATAGAAAATGATCAAACAAGTTAATAAATTTGCACATCATGGGAATGAAATCAATAGTGTGGGGGCTGAATAAAATATACTAAGGAAGGCCAAGGACTTTGAAGACATCAGGCCAAAGACAATTCAACTCTGTCCAAGGGCTCTTGAAGCCAAATATACAAATCGGCCATGTAAGGAGCCGAGTAGGAATCAACACACAACTGAGAGGCCGAGTAAGAAATCATGCGCGAGATTAAGAGTGGGCCCGACCCTTGGGCCCAGAAGGAATATAAAAAAAGGAACATCAACCAAAGAGAGGTATGTGAGAATAGATAAAATAACTTGAGATAGAAGAAAATTGGAGAGAATACTAACTTGTCCGTCGGAGTGCTAATTCCGACACCCTCGACTGGAGTGTTCATCCCTTTTTTCAGGTAGCAATCAGAGGGTCAAGGGCGCCTATCTGGATCCTAGAGTATTTCCAAACCATTTCTCCACAATTGGCTGCATCTATGGGAATACTCAAATGCATCCATGGCAGGCATAGCAGATGATCCTCTGGTAGTTGCTGACGATGTTACGCCAAGAGATGACATCACTCCAAGAAACATGCTTGGACCGGAGAATATCACCACACAACAGGCCTTGAACTTCGACCTAGTAGCTTATACCTCACCTCAACTTCGGTGCAAGAGACTATGCAGACAATCATGGATCAAGCAAAGCGAAATGAATAGGGTCTAGAAGATATGATGACTAAAAATGAGCGGTTACATCAGGAATAGGCCTTGGAGTTAGCCAAGTCCCAACAGGCCACATGCCATGACCGGGGTCGATCCCTAAGAAAGAAGGACGATCGATGACGTCGACTTCAGAAACATGATAATGGCAGTGATTCTAACTCACCATCCCAAGAACCCAGAAAGAATGGACGAGTCGATGTATCTAGCTCATCCGAAGGAAGTCCTTACGCACGGCACAAGCAAGGGAAAAGAAGTGATGATTCGGATGAAGAAAACAGGCATGACCCTTTCGTGCGACGCATCACAAGAGAAATGTTGCCCAAGAAGTTCAAAGCACCGTCATTCACCCTATATGACAGAAAATTAGATCCCACTGACTATATTCGTCATTATAAACAAGCGATGCATTGCATGCTGATGAGGAAGCCCTCATGTGTCGAATGTTCCCAAGTAGCCTAGGACTGCTGGCTGTCAGAAGGTACAAAGCTTTCATCAACTCCAAAAATCCTTCACGGTGAGATTCATCGCCAACGAAGTTTAGCCAAAACAAGCCGACTCTCTTTGGACCATGCAAATTAAACCAGAAATGACTCTCCGTAAGTATTCGGCGCACTATTAGGAATGTTTCAACTTGGTAGATGATGCCTGCAATGATTCCATGGCCATTACCAACTTCAAGATGGGGCTACATCCTGATAATCCTCTCCGCTGTTCATTGACCAGATGGCCCCCCAAAACAATTTGGGCGTTAATGAAGAAAGTTAAAGAATATTGTAAGGTGGAAGACGACGCCCTGCAGGTCAAGGCTGGACAGAAAGTTGATAAATTGGCTCTGTCTGGTCCAGTTCAGTCGATAAGCGTCATGCCATCAAGGAGCCCTGAACCTCAGACTCAAGCTAAACAAGACAAAAGGCGTGATTCGCGTCGTTCGAGCGATCAGTGTTCGCACCGATCAAACGAACAATATCAAGTGGATAACAGGCGCACAAGACGTTCAGATAAGAAGTACATGGAATTGGCAAAACCGATCGGTAAGATCTTATCCAAAGTCCAACATTACCCACTCTTTAAATGGCCGTCCAAAATGATGGGGCCTCTTGATACAAGGAGAAAGGATAAGCGGTGCGAATATCACAAGGACCATAGCCAGAATACTGGCAACTGTTATACATTGAAGGATCACTTGGAAGAGTTGGTACAAGATGGTCGGCTGGCGCAATACGTTCGAAAGAATAATCCATTGAACACAGTGGCCTTACGGCCAGATTCACCACCACTCGGCATAATTCACATGATATACAGCCTACCGTTATCGGCCGAGGTACATACAGTTCAGTCGCAACCTAGAGCGTCCAAACCAATCACACCAGCCAAACGACCCTATGAAACTGGGAGGATTAGCTTTGATGACACCGACTTAACCGAAGTAACTCTCCCCCATACTGATCTCCTCGTCATCGAGCTACGAATGAACAAATTCACAGTTGAGCGCATCCTCATTCATTAGTGAAGCATTTCGAAAATAATGTATTACAAGACGTTTGTTAAACTCGGCTTCACTGATTCGAATTTGTTGCTAGCCAACTACCCATTATTCGGCTGCAACGCCAGCCCTGAGTATCCCTTGGATAAGATCACACTACCAGTACGGGCAGGTACCAGATCGGTAGATGTAGAATTTCTGGTCGTCAAATTCCTGTCACCATATAATCTCATCATGGAGAGAACTTGGTTGCATACCATGCAGGCTGTGCTAAGCACCTACCATCAACTGCTTCGTTTTCCAACTACATATGGCATCGAGAAAATTCGGGGTTCTCAGAAATCAACATAGGCATGCTAACTTATTGCTGTTACAAAGGGGCCAAAGGAATTGGAAGTAAACTCGATTGAAATATCGGATCGAGAGAGCCTCGAAGATATTGGGAAATTCCCCAGCGAAAAGGCCACTGAAGACTTTGATTGGATCAAAATCAATGGGAGTCCTAACAAATTCTTCATGATCGGTACCTTCTTGAGCGAAGTTGATAGACGTGAGCTGGTATCCTTCTTATTCGACAACCTCGATGTGTTTACATGGACACCGTACGAAATGTCGGGGGTGGATCCAGTCTAGCCTAGCATCGTTTAAACGTTGATCCAAAAGTAAAACCAGTTATTCAGAAAAGTCAACAGTCGGCCGCGGAGCATGCATCGACCGTTGTTGATGAAGTTGACAGATTGCTTGATGCCGGGGCGATTCATGAAGTCACCTATCCCACATGGTTGTCTAATACCGTGGATATAAAGAAGAAAAATGGGTCTTGGTGCATTTGCGTGGATTTCATAGATTTGAACAAAGCTTATCCAAAGGATTGTTTTTCTCTCCCAAAAATCGACCAACTTATGGACGCAACAGCACATCATCAGCACATGAGCTTCTTAGATGCCTACATTGGTTATCACCAAATTTCCATGCACCCGGAAGATCAAGAAAAGACTGCATTTCTCACCCTAAGGGGAACCTATTGTTACAAGGTTATGCATTTCGGACTAAAGAATGCGAGAGCCACGTACCATAGACTGGTTACCACTATGTTCGAGGAATAACTCGGCTGCACCATGGAAGTGTACATCAATGACATGGTGCTAAAGTCCAGGGAAAAACACTCCCATTTAGTTGATTTATCAGAGACCTTCAGCATCCTCCGAAAGTACAAGATGAAACTGAACGCCTCGAAATGCGCATTCGACATCGGATCCGACAAATTTCTTGGCTACATTGTCAACCATCGCGGAATAGAGGCCAATCCGAGGCAGATCATAGCAATTCTAGAACTCGGCTCCCCTAGATCAGTCAAAGAAGTTCAGAAGTTGATGGGGATGGTCGCCGCCCTGATTAGGTTTATAAGTCGTTCTTCAGATCGCTTCCGGCAATTTTTTCATACACTTTGGAAGAGCAAAGCGTTTGAATGGAGTCCCGAGTGCCAAGCCACGCTAGACGGCTTGAAAACTTATCTCCGATCAATACCACTCTTGGCAACTGCATCGGCAGGCGATCCGCTCATCTTGTACCTGGCAATATCTGACCTGGCGGTCAACGTCGTGCTACTAAAAGAAAAACTTGGGGAATAGTGACCAATTTATTATGTAAGCAAGGCCATGGTCGACGCCGAAACGCGATATCTATCACTGGAAAAGTTCACCCTTGCTCTCGTAGTGGTTGCAAGAAAATTGATGCATTATTTTCAGGCTCACACCATAGGGGTATTAATGGACTATCTCCTTCGGTCAACGCTGCGCAGTGCAGAAGTATCAGGGGAGGTCTTGAAGTGGGCTTTGGAACTCATCTAATATGATATCCAATTTTTGCTAGAACTGCCATCGAAGCTCAAGTGCTTGCCGACTTTGTAGCCGAGTTCACGGGATGCCATACCAACCTCAAGTCCGATCAGGTGCAACCTAAATCCGATTGGCGAATATATGTTGGAGATATTTGGCAGTTATATTGTTATGAATCATCCAATCAACGTGGCAATAGGGCAGGTGTAGTAATCATGACCCCCGAAAGGGCAATAATCGAGCAGGTGGTCAAACTGGGCTTTGATGCATCAAATAATGACGCCAAATACGAAGCTTTGCTGACCGGCCTTCGTAACGCACTTCACCTTGATGCACAGCAACTGCTTGTCTTCTGTGACTCGAAATTAGTCATTAACCAACTGAAAAGGGAATATACAACCAAAAATGACCACATGATAGCCTACATGAAAACGACGAATTCCTTGCTCACGAAATTTCACCACCACAAATTGAATCAGATAACCCAGGATCAGAACACACATGCAGATGCCCTTACTTGCTTAGTCTCCACCATCAACTCAGAAATCAAACGAACAATTGAAGTAATGTTCATTCCAGAGCCGAGCATCACCTCTTTTGAACCAGTTTAGGTTAACGTCATTGAACAAGGACCTAGTTGGATGGACCTTATCCCCACATTCATTTCATCAGAACAGCTCCCAATGGATAAGAAAGAAGCCCACAAGATGCGAAATAAAGCCCTGCGATACTACCGGCATCCTTAGGGAAAGCTTTACAAAAAATCTCTCTCTGGGTTGTACTTGGAATGCCTTCACCCGGATAAAGTTGAGGAACTCCTGGCCGAAAGACATGAGGGTAGGTGTGGCGCCCACTCTGGAGAACGCTCATTGGCCCATCGAGCCGTAACACAGGTGTGCTATTGGCTGACCATGCGATCAAATGCCGAGAACTACATAAAAAAGTGCAAACAATGCCAGAAGTTTTCCCCTTTAACTCATCCACTTGCCGAAGAACTAAACGCCATTACTTGTCCTTGGCCATTCACTCAATGGGGACTCAATATCGTCGGACCATTACCACGGGCTCTAGGGAACAAGCAATTCCTGATCATCGCAACAGATTATTTCACAAAATGGGTTGAAGCGAAGGCACTAACACATATTCGAGATGTTGATGTTAAACATTTTGTATGGAAAAACATCATAACATGATTCGACATACCAAGAGCACTTATCTCAAACAACGGCACCCAATTCAATTATGGCGTCTATCGAGAATTATGCAACACATATGGTATACGACCCCACTTTTCCTCGCCGGCATACCCACAAAGCAACGGTCAGGCAGAGGCTTCAAATAAAGTGATCCTAGATGGCATCAAGAAACGGCTAGAAAAAGCCAAAGGCAGGTGGATCGAAGAATTGCCGTGCATGTTGTGGGCTCATCACACTACTCCAAGACGATCTAATGGGGAAACGATGTTCACTTTATGCTTTGGAACACAGGCAATTATCCGCCTTGAGATCGGCCTTTCCATATTGAAATCCAAGGTTTTTGAAATGGGCCATAATAATATGATTGTAGACGTGCCCGAACGTCCCGGGAAAATCCCGTTTTGTTCATTGGGCTTACTACAGTTCGGACTCAATGTCACGGTTCTTAATCTGATCTTGCAAAGTGCAATGCGAGATTGATAAA